AGAGAGAGAGAGGAGGCTTTGCCCCAACTTTGAATTTTCAAGGGCTGGGGAGGATTAGCTCTATTCTCAAGCTGGGAACTTCCAGCACCTGGGTCCTGTTTCAAAGCTGTAACCTGGGAGGAAGGAAGAAGAGGCGCCCAGCTCCTTGATGGCCCTGAAGCCTATGATAGTATAAGTGGCCTCACTCCCATTGCTTCATGTATCCTAGAACTTGTGTTTCGCCCCAACTTTGAATTTTCAAGGGCTGGGGAGGATTAGCTCTATTCTCAAGCTGGGAACTTCCAGCACCTGGGTCCTGTTTCAAAGCTGTAACCTGGGAGGAAGGAAGAAGAGGCGCCCAGCTCCTTGATGGCCCTGAAGCCTATGATAGTATAAGTGGCCTCACTCCCATTGCTTCATGTATCCTAGAACTTGTGTTTCCAGTTTACCGAAGACAGTCTGTTTGCCAGGTTTGCCCAGGGCTGTGTTGGCAAGGCTGGTCTGAAGCGCTCAGTGGATGGAAAAGTAGACACAGAGGCAACAAAGGAGAAAGAACAAAGGTCCTGCCCCAATTGCTTTGGGGACCTCCCACTAGACCTTGCCTCTTAAAGGTTCCACCATCTCCCAACAGCACCATCCCAAGAGCCAAGACTCCAACATATGAACCTTGAGAGGGATACATTTAAACCACATTGAAAGCACAGCACACAGCAGTGATCATCAGTCACTGTATTAGTTTTCTGTTTACTGTAATAAGTTACCACAAACTTAGTGCCTCTCAAAATACTTATTATCTTAGAGTTGTGGAGGGCCAGAAGTTTGGAATAAGTCCCTGTGTGCTAAGATCAATGTTCGACAGTGTGGACCATTCATTCCTGTGGCCTCTCAAGGTGCTAGAAGAGGCTGCATATTGTTGACCTGTGGCTCCCGTTTTCAAGGCCAGCAGCATTGCCTCAGCTATTCTCAAGATGCCAGCTCTTTGACTCTCTCTTTTGTCTCTCTCTTTCACTTCAAAGGAGCCTCATGATTACAGCAATCTCATTTGGATAACCCAAGAAATCTCCTGGTCTGGGGGAGGTTTGATTAGCAATCTTTATTCCCCTTGGCCAGGTAATTTAACACACTGGCAGATTTGGAAGATTAGGGAATGGCTCTTTGAAGGCATATTTCATTGACAGTAGAGAAACAGTTGAGTTATGTAGAAAGTAAATTAAGGGGTTGGTGAGATAGCTCAGCCGGTAACGGCGCTTGCCACCAAGCCTGATGACCTGAATTCGATCCCTGGAACCCACATGGTAGAAAGAGAACTGATTCCCACAAGTTGTCCTCTGACCTTCATATGTGTTCTATGGCATATGCACAGACACATATAAATAAATGTAATTTTTAAAAAATAGAAAGTAAATTAAGGCAGGCAGTCTAGAATTAGGAATGAGAGGCTTAGAAGATAGACACAGGGGAATCTCTGTGAGGTGGAGTCTAGCCTGGTCTACATAGTTAAGTTCTAGGCCAACTGGGGCTACAGGGAGACCCTGTCTCAAAAACAACAACAACAACAACACACACACACACACACACACACACACATACACACACACAGAATGAGATGCTGGATGAGGTGCCACATTCCTACAATCTTAGCACTTGGGTGGTAGAGGCAGGAAGATTAGAAGTCCAAGGTTATTCTTGGCTAGTGAGTTACTCAAACCTAGTGAGTTTGAAGCCAACCTGGGCTACATGAGATTCTGTCCCTGAAAAATAAAAACAAAACAAAAAACAAATGAAAACCAAAAGAGTAAAATATCGTTTGGTCCCTCTTATTCTAAATTATAACCTTTCACGACCTCAAGCAGACCTGGTCCAACTTGGACCCATTGTACTGAGGGTAGAATCCCAGCTCCATTTACCACTTAGTTGGTCATTGAAGAGGTAGGTCACTAACCCCTACTTTTCTAAACCCCAGTTTCTTCCTCTGAGAGAAAAATAGCAATACTTGTCTGCCTACCTCACAGAACTGTGAAAATCAGAATTGATCAGGCTGTTGCACAGATGCTATGAAACTTGATGCAAATGTAAGTCATGACTTTTAGTATATGTGGGAAAACCAATGCTTGATGAAGAGTTGAATGAATGAATGAGTTCAACTTGTTGATTGCCTTATTTTAATCAAAGATTTAATGCAAGAACAATCTCATCTTAGTTCAATTAAAGACTTAATATAGAAATGACCTCATCTGTAGAGTTTACATACAACATGACAAACATATATGATATCACCATTATAAAGAAGCTCTTTTCCCCTTTATGGCTCTCTATGGGACAAAACCTTTATTATTTTTAACTTTTTTAAAGACAGGGTCTTTCTATATAGCCCTGCCTAACTTGGAATTTATTATGTAGGCCAGCTGGCTTTGAACTTATGACAGTCCTCCTGCCTCTTCCACCCAAGTGCTGGGATTACAGGCATATAACCACCATACGTGGCTAAGACAAAAATCTTATGTGCCCTTTGAGACTTGGTTTACAATGCACCATGTCTAAACAAAGCACCCTTGAGATTTCTATCATGCTAAGGTGTGTGTGATTCATTTCCTTTAGTAAACCATGTTTTATTAGGGACTAAGAGAAAATGAATTCATCTTGTTTTTCCTTTTCTTGCCTTGATTTTTAAGCAGGAATGTGCTGTGTTTTATCATCTGTAGTGATAAAAAGAATTATGTGTGAATCGTCTCACTCACTGTTATGGTAGGGTATGAAAAGGTCCTTTCTTACTTCCTTCATCTTTCTATCCCTGAAAGTTTGGATCTCCTGCTTAATTTAACCTGACACATAACCACACTATTGATTCAAGTTAAAAATAAAAAGCATACACAGCATAACCCCTAAATTATGTATGAATAGCAATTGGATTCAAACATTGGAGCATATCACAAGGGGATTTTATTGATTTTCTCCCAAATATTAAACACCTACTAACCCCCTCCTCTTTTCTTATAATCCGCTCGTGCTATGATCAAAAGGGTCATCACAAACACCATAATGAAGAAAATCCACATGAAGAACCTGTCTATGACTTTCGCCACCTTCTTCCACTCACTGCCCTTGGAGTTGGTAGCCTTGTGATCTTTGAGGCACTTGGCAATGTATTTGATATTTTTGGTCAGCACTTCGTACCGCGCACAGTAACTATCCTGAGGGGTCCCACCTTGGCATCCCAGGTGATTCTTTAAGAGTTTGTTCATTTCCTTCTTTCTGGAAAGGTCTTTTTTCCTGGCTGTTTTCAGGTTGGACCCTGGGAATTTGCTATAAACCTTCATGAGATGGTCTGGCTCCTGGCTGTGGCATGGGCTGAGGCAGCTCTCACCCACATCGTAGACAAACAAAATCCTGGACATGTATTTCAGGATGACTACCCTGGCCCAGTGTGGCACTGGCCGGGCCTCAGCCCCGCAGAAATGAATGTTCATCACCATAATGGTGAGAGCTGTAGAGGCTGTGATCAAGGCCATGGTGGCTATGTAGTATTTCCCTAGAACGAAAGTTCATTTTAGCACTCTCTTCAGAGTTCATGAAAAAGAAAGAAACACATTCCTAAGGAGCTGGTCTACCCTAGTGGTCCCTGCAGAGAATTTTGACTCAAACTTCCCATGTTTGAACTCTAGCAGTCTCACCCACTAGACTTGGAACATAAATAAAGTATAAAATCCTACTGAACTTCAGTTCCAAGCTCTATAAAATGAGTGTAACAGTATATTACTTACAGCAATATGGTGAGTTTAGCAGAGATGATACCTGTAAAGGTCTCTGCACCATCCTTGACTCTAAAAGGTTCCTGAATGTTTGCTGAGATCATGATGTGAAGAATGTGTCCATGCTCAGCAAACAATGATCTTTGACTGGTTCTTAGAACATCTTATTACGGGTGGCAATTACTATTGGAAAAGAAGGGTAACACTATGTCACTGCCTTTAAAACCTGACAAGGGCTGGAGAGCTGGCTCAGTGGTTAAGAGCAGTGGCTGCTTTTACAGAGGACTGGGTTCAGATCCCAGCACCCACATGATGGCTAACAATCATTCATAACTCCAGCTCCAGGGGATTCAATGCACTCATGTGACATCCACAGGCACTGTACTCAGGGTACACTTACATGCAAGCAAAACACACACACACACACACACACACACACACACAAAATAAAAATCAATAAAAAAACAAACATAAAATGCGACTACAAGTAAAATGTAAAGCAAATGCTCATGAAGAAAGGAAAAGAAGGAAAGGCACAAAAGGGCACAAACTTATGGGATATTGAACAAAAACTAAGAGGATAACACTAAAGGCAAGTTTTTGAAAAAGAGTAATGAAGGCTGGAGAGATGGCTCAGCAGTCAAGAGCACTAACTGCTCTTGCAGAGGACCCAGGTTTGATTCCAGAAGAGCCAATGCCGCCTTCTGACCTCCATGGGCATTGCATGACAGAGGTGTAGTTACATGCAGGCAATACACTCATACACATAAAAAATAAAAAAGAAATAGTAATGAAGCTGGGTGTGGTAGTGCACATTCTTAGTCCCATCTACTTAGGAGGCTAAGTAAGGCAGGAGGATGCTTGTGTTTAGGAGTTAGAGATTAGCTTGGGGCAACAGAGCCAGAGGGCTGCCCCCACCAAAACAGAAGAGTCCTAAAACTGAGAAATCTTTGATAAAGTCACTCATGGGGGGGGGAGGGAGAGAGAGAGAGAGAGAGAGAGAGAGAGAGAGAGAGAGATATTGACTTAAGAAGGAGCTTTGATCCTAAAATATATGAGAAAAGAAACAGTACTAAATTTTTCTTAGAGACAAATTTGAGGAGGTTCTACATAAAAATTAGCTACTGGAATTCCTTAGTGTTATTTATTTGAGACAGAGCTTCATATTAGCCCAGGTTGGCTTTGAACTCACCGTGTAGCTGTAAATGATCTTAAAATTTGGCTCTGACTGCCTCTACCCCCTGAATACTGGGACTGCAGGCACATACTACCATGTCAGTTTATGTGGTACTAGGGGTTGAACCCAAGGCTTTACGTATGCTGGGCAAGCACTCTACCAACAGAGCCACATCCCCAGCTCCACAGCGTCTTTTTATCTTTTCAGTACCTGGGGTTGGATTTAGGATTTTCTACATGTTAGACAAGTGCTCTACCAGTCACCTATATTCCCATTCCCCACAGTGTCTTAAAATGATAATGTATATCATGTAGAAGGAGAGTTTGGTTTGAAGGATTCAAAGCTCAACATCAGAATCATTGATATAATCCACTAGTCTAATAAAGAGAAAACGCACATGGTTATCTTAATAAATGAAGACAAAGCATTTGTCTAATTGCCTTGCCTGGGCCAGTAACATGCGGGCTGGTCTGTGAGTGAGTTCACGGAAGACGGAAGGCAGAAGTGGAGTCTATTAGATACACCGTGGCACAGCCACAGTGAGCAGACCAGTAGAGAGAAACTGCAGATACTCTAAGGGGCTGTTTTTACATGGTGGGGAGTTCTACCGGGGTAGTCAGACAATATTTTAATGTCATGGAGTTCTGGTTAGCAACAGCCTGATCTTGAGGTAATGTTAGTCTTGCCCTGAGTCAGAAATGACCCTAAACTGGTATCCAGATTGGCTTGTTATGGTTAATTCCATCTGATGAGTTAACAGTCCTGTTTGGAGGAAGTAGTGGCCTTGTTCTGAGTCTAGCCTGATCTGAAGCAAAGGCAATCTTGTTGTAAGCTAGAATGTCTCAGCACAGCTGTCTATCCCAGAACAAAGTCCTTAATAATGCTTATCATTCGTTTATTGTTAAAAATGCCAGGTTAACTGTAAAAGGGGGTCTATCTAGGAGAGTAAAGGGTATGGGCCAGAGACATGCATGAACTGCCACACATGATACAATGTAAACATGTTTCTATAAGATTTGGGAACACTAGGACTGAGGCTATCGTTCAGGGTAAAGCACTTGCCTCTTATGAATGAGGCCCTGGGTCCAATATCCAGTACTGAAAAAAAAATAGAAGCACAAAGCCAGGTATAGTGGCACACAGTCTAAATCCCAGTCCTTAGGAGGCTGAGGCAGGAGGATTGCAAGTCCAAGGCCAGCCTGGTTACACAGTGTGATGTCTCCAACAATGACAAATACTGAGAGCACATTTCATAGGTGCTAAAAATAAAATACTGTGACTGTTAACAAATATCCTCAAAAGCTGTGTATATATTTTCTAAAAAGACAAATTTCATGTTAAGTAAAGAGATCAATAATGTTCCCCCAATTCCTGTGAGCCACCTTACTCTGGCAGTTGTGCCAACCTGTGATTGAATGTCAGTGCCAAAGAAGAAAAGGGGGCCTGCCAACTACCTCAGACAGTGTCGTGATTGGACAGTATCCCTATCAGTCATCTCTCATTTGGTTTGGTTTGGTTTTTGTTTGAGACAGGGTATCATGTACTTGAGGCTAGCCTTGAATTCCTGATATTCCTGCCTCTACCTCCCAAGTGCTGGGATTTCAGGTGTGCACCACCATGCCAGCAAGTGTAACTCATTTCTGCCTCCAGAGAGGTAATACAAATGCTAACCCACCTCTTTATTAGTGGAAAAGAAAACCTAGGTTTATTTCTTTTAAAAAAATTTGTGTGGGGCTGGAGAGATGGCTCAGTGGTTAAGAACATTGACTGTTCTTGCAGAAGACCCGGGTTCGAATCCCAGCACCCACATGGCAGCTAACAACTGTAACTCCAGTTCCACGGGATCTGACAGACTCTTCTGTCCTCCACAGGCATTGCATGACAAGGGTGCACTTACCTACATGCAGGCATAACACTCATACACATAAAATAAAAATAATAAATAAAATTTTTTTTTAATTGTGTGTACTTTTGCTAGAAGAGACATGAGAAGGAGGACATTGCCAGGCATGGTGGCATACACCTGCAATTCCTGTATAATTCCTGTACTTGGGGGTGGGGGAGCAGAAGGTTCAGAAATTCAAGTTCATCCTTGGCTACACAGCAAGTTTGAGGCTAATGTGGGCTACATAAAACTGTCTCAAAGAAAAAAAAAAAAAATCAAGATTCATTTTTTGCTTTGCCAGAATCTATGCTGAAGGTAACTCAGGAAATAGCAGTTATGCTAATTTTGCAAATGATGACGATTAGGAGATTATGCCATTTAACTAAGGTTGATCAAGGAGAGAGCAGTGAAGTCAGCAGTCAAATGTAACTTCTTTGACTTCCAAATCAGAGCCTTAGCTTTTAAGTCAGTGCTTTTCAGACTTGAACAATAAATGCATCAGAATTACCTGGAAGGCCCATTTAAACAGACAGTCAGGTCTCACCTCTGGAATCTCTAGTTCAGTAGGTAGGTGTGTGGGTCTTAGAATTTGTGTGCCTATAAGTTCTCAGGTGATGCTGATTTTGTGAGTTTGGGGACCAGTACTTTGAGAATCACTTCTCTAAGCTATACTGCAGGCCAAGTGTGGCTCACGCCTGTAATCCCAGTCCCAGGGAGGCTTAGGCAGGAGGATTACCATGAGTTTGAGGTCAGTCTGGGCTACAGAGTGAGAGCCTGCCTCAAACATCCAAAGCAAATAAAAAAACAACAAAAAACTTGTTCTTTTGTAAACCTGGAGATCATAAGAACTAGTTCATTCCAGCAAATTCCATGCATATCAAAGATGTGCTCTGCAGACACCTAATGAATTATGTGACAATTTATACTGAGACTTACACTGGGCCAATTGTTTCTGTCTGAGGCACATACACCATCCCAGCTGCTACAAAGCTAGGTTCCAAGTGTACACTAGAACTCACCTATCAGAGGGACATTTTCTGAGGCTGGCATGATCTCTGCCACCATTAGTTGAAATACAGTCATGGCCAACAGAATGGTCACTCCCAGAGAGACCTTCTCCCCAGAGGCTGCTGGGAGATAGAAACTCAAAGGAGCGAGGAAAGATATGAGGACACAAGGGATGAGGAGGTTGACGATGTAGAAAGAGGACCTCCTCTTCAGGAGGAGAGTGAAGGTCACATCTGGGTAGGGCTCTGAGCAGCAGCCATAGGAGATGACGTTCTTCACAGCAGGCATGCCATGGACTTCCCATTCCACATCTTCAATGAAGTCAGAGAGATCACCACTATCCAGAGCGTTGAATATGTCCACTTGGTTGCCATTGTAGGTCCAGGAACCAAAGGTCAGGTTGCACTGCTGGTTATCGAAGGGGAAGTAGGTGACATCCACCACACAGGAGCTTTTGGTGATGGCTGGTGCATCCCAGGTGATGAGCCCATCATACCGTAGGACCACATTGGTATTCACAGGTTCTGATGACTCATCGTCAGCCCTGGAGGTCAGATGAAGACAGTGACAACCACTTGCTAAGGAACCTCACTAAGAACCTCACTAACTTTCCTACACCTAGATAGTTCATTGCCCTGGGTCTGTCACTTCAGCCTTCCAGTCAAAAAGTAAGCCTGTCAAGGCTAAAATCTGTTTACCTGATTTTGCTCACCTAGGCACAATAATATTCACTATAACTTTTATTGCTGTTGTAATACATATATGTGTTTATTTGGAAGGAAGGAAAAAAGTCTTTTCCACAGAAGGAAAAAAGTCTTTCACCCCTAAACATACAGCTGATCACTATTTCTTGGGATATTTTCTTTTACTTTGCCAACATCTATTCCTACTATTTCTAGGTGTGGAATTTTTATCTTCCTTTAGGGAATTATTCTTCCTCTACTGGCATTACAAAGCAGAGGCACTGCTGGTGTGAGCCCATGAGCACATAGCTTGCTTGTCTAATACATAGCTACTGATGCAGGTTTAACTTAATGGCTGTGTGGATTACAAAGAAACTCTTCAGGGGGCCAGAGAGATGGCTCAGCAGTTAAGAGTACTGGCTGCTGTTGCAGAGGACACGGGTTCAGTTCCCAGAACCCACATGGTAGCTAACAACCATCAGTAAGTCCAGTTCCAGGGGATCTGATGCCCTCTTCTGGCCTCTATGGGCATTGCATGCATGTGGTACACATTACATGCAGGCAGAACACTCATATAAGTAAAATAAAATTTTTGAAAAAGAAGCGTTTCAGCAATACTGCTCACTGCTTTGGCCAATTGAAGCAAGAGTGAGGGGAGAACCAGCATTTTATTTGTTCTCCAGGGAGAATTGTTAGAACTTACAGAAAGCTCTAAGAGATCGTCTCTGTCAACTGTATTGTCAGATATTATTCTATTGTACTCTGTGGATGAGAGCGGTACTGGACCATGAGATTCATTTTCTAGGAGAGAGGGTGAGGAGAGAGGGAGGAAGGGAAGGAGGCAAGGAAGAGGAGGAAGAGAGGGATGGGTGGATTCAAAAAATAAAGCCTTAGTTCTTGAATGTTCCCTTGCTTGGAAGGCACATGGAACATTCTGCTGGTCACTCAGTGTAAGGACTGGACAGCAGGTCGTGACCCTTGGATAGGCTCTGGGGCTGCCACATACCACTGTTGCTTCTTAAAGGGATATTCATAACCACTAGGAGGCTCCACCCAAGGATCCTCTCCCCCAGATGCCCCCTTTCTGTTCTGAAGAACTTCTTTCAACTCACAGAAGCTTGAGGTCCAGAATAAAGAGAGAAGCTCCCATGACAGCAGGTGGAGAAACTAGGCTCGAATTAGGGTAGGAGATCTGGCGTCTTCTTGAAGTGTAGCCCACGGGCCAACAGCACCACACTATGTGGAGCTTGTAGGAATGCAGAGCTGCCAGCCCACCCAAGATCTACTGAATCTGAAGTTGAATTTTGATACAATCTCTAGGTAACTCAAGAGTACTTTATAGTCTGAGAAATGTGAGCCGAATCTATGGATATATAAGGCCCCTTGCTCTGAGAATAAGAGCCAAAACAGTCCTAAGATCCACTCCCCTCCAACCCCAAGTCCCAAACCCACAGGCCAGTGTCCCACTCTGATTTAAATTTAGCACCATTTCTGTTACTGAGACATAATCTTGAATAGGACCACTGTTACAGGTTAAATTTTATCTCCAGAAAATGCATATGTTGAAGTCTTAGCTTTCCAGCATCTCAGAATGTGACCTTACTTAAGAACAGGGTTAAGTTGGACATGACGGTAAACTTGGGAACCCGAGGCAGGAAGATTATGAGTTCTAGACCAGCCTGAGCTAAACAGAAAGACCCTGTCTCAAAAAAAAATAGCCAATCAAACAACAAAAGACAAGAAGGGGGAGAATGAAGAGGGAGGGAGAGGAGGAAAAGGAAGAGGAGGAGGAAGAAGAGGAGGAAGAGGAGGAGGAGGAGGAGGGTTATTGTAGGTAAAACAGGTGATGATGCAGTTCACGTTGGAACAGGATGAGTACCTAAGCCTGTATCATGAATCCCTTAGTAAGAGTGGGAGCTTTGGGTATAGGAAGCACAGAGGGAGAACCCCATGTAAAGATGAAGGCAAAGATCAGTGAGACTTCTGCAATTCAAGGGACACAGAAGACAGCAGCAAATGCCAGAAGTTGGGGAAGAGGCCTGGAGAAGGTTCCTGTTGGCAGTCCACTTTCGCCTTATTCTTCCGACCTCCAGAGGCATGAGCTGACAAATGTCTGTTCTTTAAGTTACCTAGTCTGTGCTACATTGCTACACCAGCCTTAGAAAACTAATGTCGCTTCCAATTTTGCACCTGAAAGGGAGACTGTAAAATGAATTCAATAGTCTCCTTTCAACTCTTAAGTTTTTATGGCCTATTTTTCTATTACCTGAGATTTGGACTATGAACATGGATTAATACTCCAAGCATGTTTTAAATGTTCCTTTGTCATTATATTTACGTTCTACTAAGTCAGTAAGTTCAGCGCAGGAAATCATCAGGTCTGAGCTACACTTACTTGTTGTACAGGACGATGTCTGGCCTCCACACCAGGTCACTGGGAATCCTGATAGAATCCAGCCCATCGTACTGGTCTCGATCCCACATGAGGTATGCATCATGCCAGATTTGGCGAATCCACAGATAGGCCGTCAGAATTTGGTTTCTCTCGTCCTATACAATGAATCCAGATGTCACTTTATCCATTCTATACTTCCATCTTCAGGACACCCATTCTTCATAACAGGAATTTAAAGAACACTCATCTATTTTCAATTAACAAGTGAGAGCTTTTAAAATTCTATCTGGTTGATTGATTACCAAGGCCACATTTAATTCCTCCTTAATGTAGTATGTAGAATGTAAAGGAGACAAACTTAAGTCTTTAGATCTTTGCATGGATCAACTGCTCGATTTTCTCTGAAAAGGGATCAACTAATGATACCCTTGAGTGGTGAGTCACGAAATATCCACCATGTGCAAAAGAAAACATCCTTCAAATCTCATAACTTTGCATAATTAAATACATATATGCATATATTAATACATAAATGCACATATGTAAGTAAGCTACATCATCTTAAAATATCACCTCCTTTTTTAAAATACTTGATTAACTTCTTGGGGCTGGAGAGATGGCTCAGCAGTTAGGAGCACTGACTGCTCTTGCAGGGGACCCCGGTTCAATTCCCAGCACCCACACAGCAGCTACAAACCGTCCTTAACTCCAGTTCCAGGGGAATCGGAAGCCCTCTTCTGACCTCTGCAAATTTGATTAACTTCCATAACATAAAAACATCATTTTAACCATTTTATAAGTGTACAATTCAGTGCCTTTCAGTAATTCACCATGTTGCACAACCATCTCAACTATCTAATTCAAGGACATCTTCATCACCGTCAAGACACTCTATAACCATTAAACAACCACTGCTCCTTCCCCCTTTCTCCCCCACAGCCCCTGGCAACCACTGCTCTGCCTTCTGTCTGGATAGACTGACCTCTTTCAGACTTTTCATATGAGTAGAATCGTGCCACATGTATCACAACCTTTCTTTAGATTATCTAAGACTGTTACAGTTCATGGACACAACTGTAGGTGATAGTGACATTGTCAGACATTAGATAACATTTGGTGAAATAACTTGTTTTGTAGAATGCACCCTTTCCCTGACTTTCTCTCCCTGCCAGCTCGTACACAGGACTGGTTGCTTCACTCTCTCCCAAGGTCCCCTTAAGATGTTTTCTCTAGGAGCAAATGCTTGTTTTCACTGTGATCCCCTTCCCAAAATGTCATTGCTGAATGTTACTCACCATATCCTTGATCTGAGAAAGTGTAATCTGCAGTGTGACGTTTAGGACTTTATCTGTATCTTCTACTGGACGCAGAGCATTGGAATAATCTTCAAAAAGGTCACTAAACAATTTCTGAGCATATTTTCCATCTGCTGTTTCTACAGCTGCTCAAAGAGAAAGATCTGGATCAGCATTTCAAAACAAAGAACACTGCTGGGGTCAAAATTAGGGATGACTTGCCATCGGTTAGGGACAAGTTGGGGTGGGTAGATGAGTTCTTTTTCTGGCATGTTTTACCTACAAGATCAGCACGAGTCAAGAAGAGGCATGGACACTTCCAGTAGGCACACCAGCCCTTCTGTCTTTCCAGCCCCACCCCATCTCCTACCAAAGAAATGGCCCCAGAGGGGCCCACATAGGAATATGCCACTAGCTTCTCACCTCTGAGCATAGAAGCAGCAAAATAAACCCAGCAACAGGAGATGCAGGAATAGAACCAGTACATCTTTTCCCCAGCCTCTAGAATGTTCCAGCCGGGTAGCTCAGACTTCCACTTCCCTCTATGAAGGGGAAAGTTGTGGACACACAGTGCCCACACTGCCACAGTCTCACTTTGTCAGACAACAGATGGAGACCGCCTGCCCTCCCCTCTGGTAAGCTGAGACTGGCAGCTCCAGTAACTGTGATGCCAGGGGCCCGGGGAGGGAGGGTAGGCAGTGCTGCTCTCGGGGGAGCCATCCTAGTGGAGGACCTTAGGCACCCTCAGCAGAGACAATCCGTCCAGACCAAAGAGAAGGTAGGAGCAGGAGCTAAGGGCATGCCTGATGCCCAAAGACTTCGTATAAGCAGAATGGGAGCTTGCTACACTGGTCGCAAGGAGATTCGGTTCAAAGGCAGGGTTCAAGGGAAGCTGAACAGATATAGTCACAGAGCTGAATTCCAGAGACTGCCGGCTATGCTTCCAGCAGCCTTGGAAGGGGGAGGAGAAGCAGCTGCCTAGTCTCTAGAAAGGGCAGACAGTTTCTCCACTGCCTGTTTTTGATGACTTCTCCCACTGTCCCACTGGGCATGGATCACCATAGTAAATGTGTGGGAGTGTATGTGTGAGGGGGCCTGCTGGATGGAAGGCGGCAGTTCACTCCCTGAAGTAGCAACAGCATTGTGAATTAGACTTGGAGTCGGATACCTGGGTGTGACCACCTTCCCAAACCTGCACTGGCCCCCATAACTCTGGGTAAGTTACCTAGTCATTCTGAGCCTTCCTGAGCATCAGCCAGGGAAAATAATATTCCTTCTTCCCAGAGCTACCAGCATATATGTATGAAGGCACTCTTAAGTTGGAAAGCATCGTGTACATGCTGGTTTTGATTTTCCACCTCTGATTAGCTTTGCAGATTCACAAATTTTACATTTACTAAGTTCACCAGGATTTACCAGCTCATATAACACATAAAGGCTAACCAAATCCCAGGTGAGCAACTCCTAACCAATGATGACGTGACCAAAGCTGCTTCCCCTCTGCTTCTAAATGCTCATCATATAATTTTACAGCTACTTTTCACGTGTGAACTAATCTTGCCCCCAACACACACACACACACACACACACACACACACACACACACATGTCAATTTCTAGTAGCTGATTGATGTGGTCTGGGAACTCAGCTGTCCTTCCTCTTGCCTGGAGAAACTGCCTCGGAAACCAAATTAAGACAGTTTGGCTGCCTAGAATTGAGTGTAAGGAAATTAGATAGCTCTGTTTGATCAGATTACAGATGAGTCCACCCCAAACATCTTCAGGAATATAACCTCTTCATGGAACAGACATTTACTCCATCAGCTAAGTGTGTTTCTTAATTGCCCTTCCCCTTCTGAAGACATTATTTTCCTCACACGCCAACTGCAGTCATCCAAATACCCTAAGTTCTAGACGCCAGGCTCATGCCGCCTTCAAAAACTGAACTCTGCCATCTCCAAGGAGGAGGGTAATTTTGGAATTGAATTTAACATTTCATTTTCCTGTGGGAAGCTAAGGTTCAGAGATGCACACTGACTTGCTTCTGACAGCTGGTGGCCACCTGCCCCAGACTCCCAGGCTCACAATACGAAGGTGCCCGTCCTAGCTTTCAGCAACTTGACATTGGATGCAGCAAGGTAGGAACTTGCTTGCAGGCTAAGACTCTTCCTGCTTCTGATTTCTTTTATTCCCCACAATACTCAGAGTAGCCCCTGTTAAGAGGTTTCAGACAACACTTGGTACTAGCTGCCTCTAAGGAAATCATTCTGGCAGCCTTGGTTACTTTAACTCATTTTATTCAGTTGGTCACTTGGGATTTTTTTTTTAAATAATAAAAACTAACGATCATCTGTGAATGCTAACAGAAATTATATTAGTGCTTTTGGGGGGGTATTGGCTTCGATGCTAATGAATACAAGGTAAACTCCTTGTAAATCCTTTTTTGTTTGTTTGCTTTTGTTTTTGTTTTTTGATAGGGTCTCCCTAGTCCCAGCCCACCTGGAAGTCACTATGTGGACCACGTTGGCCTCAGTCTCACCGAGATCTGCCTGCCTGTGCCTCCTGAGGGCTGAGATTAAAGGCACACACCATCACACCTGGCGTTTAAATTCTTTTTAACATGGTTTCTTTGCCTCTTGACTAAGATCAAGTGTAAATTCTTTCTAAGAATCACTACCCAAGGGCTGGGGAGATGATTCTGAGGATAAAACATGGGCTTCAAGCATTGAAGCCTGAGTTCAGGTGCCCAGAGCCTGCATAAAGCCAAGCAAGGTAGTGCACATCTTTAATTCCAATGTTCCTAAGAGGCAGAGACAGAATTCCTGATAGTTCCTGGGCCAGCAGTGAACCACAAAGAAAATCTGTCCCAAAGAATGTGTAAGGAGAGGACCAACACCCAAGTTGTCCTCTGACCCCTATATGCCGCCATGGCACAAGTGCACCAGCACTCACACATGAACACATGCACGTGCATACATCCATGCACACACATTACAAATAAACACCAAATACACACAAATGACTACTGGATATTTGTTCAAGACCTGCTCATTTTCTGTTCAACCGTTATCTCTCTGTCAACCACCAAGCCATCCAAAAATAAGAGACTTGGAACTCTAGCCTCCAGGACAGTAAATGGCAGAAAAAAATGAGTTGAATTTATTGTGAAGGATTCAGTAAAGCCAAAAAGAAGGCAAACAGCCTTAGAGAGACTTTTTAAAATGTGGGTTCAAGAAATGAAAATGATTTTCATAAACTTCAGCTACCCAGAAATTTGGACCTTTCTGGGGGTAAAGACCTTCTTGCCCTGCTTCCTGATTACCCCACTAACTGAGGATTGACTTAGGACCAGTCATACCTGTTGCCACATGAATTCAGGTTAGCATAGCACACAACTCTCCAAATTTGGAAGCTTATCACACTCGTGCCATGCCTAGAAATTCTAAGTAGCATCTGACCATTATCAACCAATGGAGGCCAGAAAAAAAAAAAGGACCCAGATTTAAGAAACTTCTAGAGAGCACAATGATCCTTTCAACACTTGCACCTTTTTTTTTTTTATTGGTAAATGTTCATTATATATAGCGCTGGGGTTTTTTGTTTTTTTATTTTTAAATATTTTATTTGATGTGTATGAGTGTATTGCTCGCATGTAGGTAGGTACACCCATGTTGTACAATGCCCGAGGAGGTCAAAAGAGGGCATTGAATGGTTGTTAGCTACCATGCAGGTGTTGGGAATTGAACCCAGAACCTCTACAAGAGCAGCCAGTGCTCTTAACTGCTGAGTCATCCCTTCAGCCCCCCTAGTGCTGGTTTTATGAGGACATACACAGATACACAATATATTTTGACTAATGCCTCCATTAGTCCCCTTTGTTCCCCTAGATGGTTTGCTTCTATTTTTTCATCATGTATGCATACATACACTATTTTATGTATCTGTATAAAATCTAGGACCCCAAAATGAGAGAAATCATTTGACATTTGTCTCTCTGAAAATGGCTTAATTTGTTTAATGTGATAATCCCAGTTGCATGTATTTTCCTGTAAATGACATCATTTTGTCCTTCTTTGTGGCAGAATAAAATTTCACTGTGTATATAAACTACATTTTTTTTCTTTTTAAAATCAGCTTATGGAGTTTTATTTTGGTTGCCCCCCCCTCCCCTCAGCTCCTGCTCTCTTTCCCTTTGCACCTTTCACCCCTTATAGTCACCCTTCCACTTTGCTCTGTGGTTCTCCCCACCCTCTCCCCTAGACCCTCTAATAGCCCACTGCTGGATTTCATGTACTCTGTCATATATGTTAAGGCCTACTGAACCAAGTTTGTGTCTCCAAACACCCTTTGGTGTACGTCCATCCACTGGAGCCTGGTTAACCTATCTAGCATTACACCTTTAAGGAAAACCAATTCTTTCTCTCTCACTAGTTACCGGTTTCCAACAGTTCCTCAGCTAAGGTTGGTGCTTCTTAACCCACTTCCCCACTTCTTTGCTGAAGGATTAATATCCAGAATATACAGAGAACTAAAAAAAAAACAAAGGAACAAGGAAACAAATGATCCAGTGAAAAAATTGGCTATGGATCTGAACAGAGAGCCCTCAAAAGAAGAAATAAAAATGGTCCAGAAATACTTTTAAAAGTTTTCAACATTGTTAGTAATTAGGGACATGAAAATCAAAACCACATTAAGATTTCATCTTATCCCAGTCAAAATGGCTAAGATCAAGAGAACAAATGACACCAAATACTGGTGAAGATGTAGGGAAAGGGGAACCCACATCCATTGTTGGTGGAAATACAAACTGGTACAACCACTGTAGAAATCAGTGTGGAGAACTTTTAAAAAACTAAAAATAAATCTACCATACGATCCTGTTATACCACTCTTGGCATATACCCAAAGGAGTCAACATCCTACCACAGGGATTCTTGTTCAGTCCTGTTTGTTGCTGTCTTCACATAGCTAGGAATGTCCCTCAACTGACAAGTGGATAATGAAAATGTGGTACGTTTACGCAATGGAGTTCTACTCAGCAGTAAAGAAAAGAAATTCATGAAATTTGCAGATAAATGGATGGAATGAGAAACTGTTATATTAAGTGGAGTGTTCTAGTTTGTATCTCCATTGCCATGACAAAACACTCTGACCAATACCAACTTGGGGATGAAAGGGTTTATTCGGCTTACATCTCCCAGGTCACAGTTCATCACTGAGGGAGGCCAAGGTAGGAACTCAGGGCAGGAACCTGGAAACAGGAGCTGAAGCACAGGCCATGAAGGAACGCTGCTTACTGGCTTGCTCCCTTGGCCCCAGCTCAACCTGTTTTCTCATACAACATAGGCCCACCTGCCCAGGGGTGGCATCACCCACAGTGGGCTAGGCCCTCCCACATCATTCAATAATCAATAAGATGCCTCACAGACATGGTCACAGCCCAGTCCAATGGAGGGAATTCACCAATTGAGGCTCCTTCTATCCAAG